CTCTTACCAGTGTGTAGGGGAGAATGCTTGTCACTTTGTGTGCTTTTGACCATGTGCAGTCCTGGTGTGGTGCTGTGGGTTAATGCGCCAGACTGCAAAGCCGTTTGAACTGCCAGGTCGGCGGTTCAAGCTTACCAGCTGCTCCTTGGAAACCCTATACAATGTTGCTATTAGTTGGAATAAACTTGACAGCAATAATGAGTTAGTTTGGTAATAGTTTTGTTTTGTTTTTTTTCCCTGCCCCCTGGCACTCTGCCCAGCCTGAGCTGTTGCTAGCTACAGGGTGTGGCTATGGGACACGCCTGGCTGGCTGCCTGGGTCCGCAGTATAAGGGAGCCAAAGGCAGCAGGAGTCAGCTCAGTACCTGGGTGGTTGGAATTTCAGGCTGCAGCTCCAGCCATGGTGCCCTTCTTCCTTTCTCTGAATGTCTTACGCCTGGGCCTGTGGGCTTCTGGCCTAATTTTGGTCTTAGGCTTCCTCAAAGTTGCCCATCTACTGCTGCGGAGACAGAAGCTAATCAGGGCCATGGATAGCTTCCCTGCCCCTCCTACCCACTGGCTCTTTGGACATGCCCTTGAGGTACGTGGGGAGATGAGGAGGTGGAGAAGTTTTGTTCAAAAGAGTCTTCCTTCAGAGAATCAAGCCTTATCTCCTGGGGGCCATAGAAAGAGACCCTGTGCTAGGGAAGGGAATTATTCCCTGGGAATCATGGGTCTCCTTCAGCTCCTTCGTGTTTCCCTCCCCCTAATCCTAGGATCGCTGCCTCACTTCTGCTTCCCAAGCTGGCCTCAGGTTTGCAGTCGGAGGTGCTTCAGAGCTTGGTTCAAGCAACCCACAGACTGCTTCCCATCATTCTAAAACCCAAGACTTAGACAAGGCTCTGCTGGAAGCTTACTGATAGCATAAATGTTACACATCTTGATCGTACTATAGATCTGGGCAATCTACTTTAGGGTTTAATCAGGGTTTTCTTTGTTGTGTTGAGAGTAAAAATTTCTGTTTTTATGACAGAAAATGAAAACAAAGACAGAGATGAGGTCAGAGAGACCTCTTAGAAAAAACACAGGAGAATGGGAAGTGAAAGTTAGATTCTTAATAGTTGCTTCGGTGGCTGTTACCAGTAATGACTGGAAGGAAAGTAAGAAATATTATGGTGCAACTGAGTAGAGAAATGCTACATCTGGAATTATTTGAGACAAAGAAAGGGCAGTTAAGCAAGATGATTGGTGGGGTTAAGATCTTTTGGATTTACCCATCCAGAGGCTCAAGGTCATATGCATACAAATGAGAAAACAGTCAAGATGAAATTGGAAAAATTTTAAATGGGTTGTATTTTTTTTGAATGTACTATAGGAGTACTGGTGTGGCGCTGTGGATTAATGCGCTGGACTGCAAGTCGGTTTGAACTGCAAGGTTGGTGGTTCAAGCTCACCAGCCGCTCCTTGGAAACCTTATATAGGTTCGCTATGGGTCAGAACTGACTCGATGGCACTCAACAACAACATAGGTATTGGACTGCTAACTGAAAGGTCAAATCCACCAGTCACAGAAGAAACATGAGGCTTTCTGCTTTAGTAAAGGTTTACAGTCTCAGAAACCCTACATAAGATTACTATGAGTTGGAATTGACTTGATGGCAGTGAGTTACAGATATCAAATGTTTCTCCAAATGAGTGTTGTAAAACAGACCTAAGTTTATGATGGAAGTAAATATTGAGTATTGTAGATTAGAAAACAGAAAGTGTGTAATCCTGCATTCAGCCAGTACTTACTTGCTTGGGTATGCTAAAAAGTGAATTCAGATTTGCCTGAAAGAAGTATATTTGATTCCGTTCAAAAAGAGGTTGATTGTGTTCCTGAAGCTCAGAAAAAGATGAGCTGGGATGAGTAGAGGATTTGGAAATCACATATAGGTAGATGATAAAGAAAGCCACAGTAGTGGAGTAGAGTCTCCAGAGAGAAGATGCAGAATGAGAAGAGGCAAAATCCTGGGTTTTCAGGAGGATAAGTTTTTGAGGAATAAATAGTGGGAGAGCAGCTGCTGAGAAGTGACATCAGAGTAGGTGGCAAAACATCCAGGAGAGAGTTCGAGCAAGAGTGGTGATCGGTGCTTACTAAGTGATGATTTCCAGGGGGATCCAACTTGGGCAGTAAAGCCACTCAAATAACATGAGGACCAATGTCTGCATCTCCCTGGATGGCTGGGCATTCTTTTGGGTCCCTCTTTTCCTGTTTCTTAGGTGTTTTGAGACTTTCCACTCTCCCATCAAACTGGTTATTCCTGGGTCTGGAATTCACTTTGGAATGTTGAAGATGGGAGAGGTGTTAGGGACAGGCTTTGGAATCTAAAGACCTGGGTATGAATTCTAATTGTATGACTATCTGGTTAGTAGTAGAGTCATAGTAAGTACATTTGTGTCTGAAAGGAAGGATGAAGAGTGAAGTTATCTGACTGTCACCAAAGTTGTGGGGATATCACTTCTCTGCTCCTGGGGGATCTTTACCATTAGATTCCCTCCCTTTGGGCTCCCCAGAGCTTACTTACTGATAAACTCCACAAACAAGTGTCCAAAGAGATGTTTTAAATTGAGCCCATATATTTTTAAACCAATGGTCATTTCAGAGATGTTTCCTTTTCCTACCTTGCTTGGCAGATGCTTCTAACCATTTTGCTTTAAATCTACTGCTTTGCTGTCCTGGAGACTGGCTAGACATGCTAAGCATTGAAAATCTAGAGTGTATGTGGGGTTACCAAGATGACTTGGATGGGAGGAATCAAGGTTATCTACGATGCCCATCTGAGAGGAGCACCAACTCAGGGAGATTTGGCTCCCAACTCCCAATCCCTGCATGACTGCACAGGGAAATGGAAACTTGTGTGTGGCTCCCTAGAGCAGAGCAGGGACTCATGGTGGAAAGTCACAGGCAGGTTGTTTCCAGTTTAGTAACTTAAGATGTCTTTAAAAAATAAGAACAGTCCAAAGATGAGTTGGATTGTTTTGAAAAATAATAAGTTTTCTGTCATGGGTAATGCTTGAGCTCTTGGGGAAAGAAATTTTCACTTTGTGAAGGTGTTGGCCCAGGCAATCCTGGTACTTGAACTCTTAGATCAACACGATCTGACTCCATCGTTCTAGGGAAGAGGGAATCCTGTCCCTAGCCCCTCCCCAACTATCTCTTTTTCTAAACATCTACCACCAGTTTGTGAATGGACTTATTTTTTCATCAGGGCTATCTGCAATCCCGCTGCAAGAAGTGGCTAAATAAGAGCTTGGTTTTTTGAACACTGGCCAACTGAGCCTCAGGTCAACTGGCTGATGGTTAGGACAGGTTTGTTAACAAGAAGGACAGCAGAAAGAGTCCCAGTCAGGATTCCCAGTCTGCCCCAGACTCATGTGGGATGGCTCCTTTTGGTCTTTGGGCTGCATTGTTCCCACCTGTAAAGTGGGGGTGTTCAATTAGGTGATGTTGACCTGACATGAACTCCCAGGGAGCACAGAAGAGAGTGACGACTTAAAGCTTGCTCTTCCTAGTTCCATCTATTGTTTACACTTGGTGAGGTCAACTAGGAGTATGAATGTGAGGATGAGGGGGGTGAGGTTAAGGGTTGCTGCTCTGAGTTTTCTCTGTTTCCTTCCTTCTGAAGAAAAACAAGCTCACCCCAGACCTCCCCACCCTGAAATCATCCCAGATCAAGGGGATCTGAGGACAGGTCTGAGAAAACAGTTGTGTAGCCCAGAGGAGTTGACAAGGTAGCCTCATGCTGCCCAGAGAGAGAACAATCCAGTCCACTTAAAGAGACTGCAGCTGTGGCAGTTGGGTCTAGCTACGTGGAGCCATCCTCACTCTTTCTAGGTGTTTCTGGACAATCAAGGGAATATAGGAAAAAGCTGGGAGTGAGGAGGCAGGTGTGAGTTCAGATCGTGAACATGATCCACATGAGGTCAGGGGCTCCTATTCATGGTAGGATGATGCAGAGGGGCTCAAGCATAGTTGACAAGAAGGGAAATGGTGCTTAGAGGAACTGTATCATTCAAAGACTCCTTCCAATTCTGAATTCCTATTAATTTGGCTTCTCTGTGACTTAGGCTCATTCTACCCTGTTCAACTAGGTTCCTGGGACTGAGAGGGATAAAGATGAAAACCCAGAAAGGAAGATGGAAAAATAAGATTGACACAGGAGGAAGGGGCACTTCCAGGGACAACCGTGAGGAAAGAGGATGAGAAGGGGTCAGAAGGTTCTCTCTTACCAGTGTGTAGGGGAGAATGCTTGTCACTTTGTGTGCTTTTGACCATGTGCAGTCCTGGTGTGGTGCTGTGGGTTAATGCGCCAGACTACAAAGCCGTTTGAACTGCCAGGTCGGCGGTTCAAGCTTACCAGCTGCTCCTTGGAAACCCTATACAGGGCCGCTATGGGTCAGAACTGACTCAATGGCACTTAACAACAACAACAACTCAAGGGCAGTGAGTACAAGGCCTCTTGGGGAGAGATGGGAAACTAGAATGCTGAGTTCAGAAGAAGTGAAATTATACCATACTCTGCAGAGGGCTGAGAGAAAATAAATCCGAGAGAAGACAAAGATGATAGACTGGAAACAAGAGTGTTGTTAAGTGTTGTCGAGTTGGTTCCAACCCATAGCGACCCTGTATAGGGTTTCTGAGGAGCAGCTGGTGGGTTTGAACCGCTGACCTTGTGGTTCAAACTGACCTTTCAGTCCACAGCATTATCCTGAAGCACCACACAGGACTCTGGAAATAAGAGTTGTTGTTAAGAGCTGTCGAATTGGTTCTGACCCATAGCGACCCTGTATTTCTGAGGAGCAGCTGGTGAGCTTGAACTGTCAACTTTGTGGTTCAAACCGACTTTGCAGTCCAGCACATTAACCCACCACATCACCCAAGCTTAATCCCCAAGGTCTTTGGGGAATAGTGGTCTGGGTTAGAAAAGGAAGCCCAGGAGGCTATATTATTCCTCAAGGCTGTCTTCTGGAGGATATAACATGGAATAATTAAGTGAGTAGAGACTGTGAAGGGGAACTTTCCAGGGAGAAAAAGCATGTCCAGTTTTTGGGTCTTTGCTTCCAAGATGACAAAGAGAAGAAGGAATGATCATGCTAAAATGGGTTATGACCATATGCAAATTATGTGCCCATTGTGATCCCATGGACAAGGCCATTATGAAGTCCATAATTCCAAACATAGTAGAGACTGCAGCCGTCAGGGACATTTATGAAGTGAATGTCTTTGACACCTACGAGTTTCCCAATCTGCATTTGAAATTATGTTGCTGTGTGAATTGTACTATTTACAGCAAAGTGATTAGGAACAGTTCTCATGAAGCCTAGAAGGATCAAGCATACTGAACCCTGATTTAGACTTACAGGTGCTGTCCCACAATGTCCACCAAAGCCCAGAGCAGGATTTAAGTCCTTAAATACTGAAGGAAAATTAAACTGGTAAATTGGAAATTATACTTAAAAAAAAAAAAAAAAAAAAAAAGCGGCCCAGCACAACATAAATGGAACTCACTGTAAAATGGGAGGAATTATCCTCTCCACATTAAGTTCATGAGATAATCTATACCACCTGGCACATAACAGGCATTCAGTGCATCTCTTCTCATTCACTATGCTGACAGAGTGCCAAAATGAATAGGGAATCTGGACATTAGTTAGAGAAGGACCAGCTGGGAACAGCAAATAGAAACCCACAGTATTGTTTACCACACAGGAAAGTGTTAGTGAACTTTGTGAACTCTTCTGTGAATTCCCAAATTGAGCAAGACCTTGGGTTTTTACCTCATGAGACTAACCATCTCTGGCCAATGTTTAGTTTAGCCAGATGCTTGTTATGGTTTCTTTCCTCCTTTCTTCTGTTCCTTCTCTATTTCATTTATCCAACACATGCTTTATCACGTACGTACTGTGTCCAAGGCCCTGTGCTGAACTCTGTAGAGGACCTGGAGATGCCACAGATGTGGTCTCTGCACTTGGGAAACTCACAGCCTAGAGGTGGAGTCAGGGGTCCTAACTAACCGTGTGATTGAGCTTCAGTTTCCTCATCTATGAGGTGAAATTTGGAATAGTGCTTCTCTTACAGACTTTTCTGAGGATTAGATTAAAGAATACATGTAGCCCTTTTAATGAAGTATCTGCCACATATTAAATGATCATGGAATGTCAATGTTAATATAATATTTTTTATTATTTTGGATTATTATGGATACAAGCTATTGTAACATAAAGCAGAATGTAAGTGAAGTACTAACAGTGCTGGATTGGACCACAGAAAGCAGATATTTCAATTGGTGAAGGATTACAGAGTTTTTTGGAGAGTTTCATTCAAGCTGGATAGTGAGGAAAAGGTGGATTGCTCTTCTATTCAAGAACAAGTGTCAGGCAATTAGAGATTGTGCCAGGAGGAAGGTATGGTATAAACCAAGGCACAGAGACGGTTTCACATCCCAGGAGGTCATATTAGTTCTAGACATTCAGACTCACAAGACTACCATTAACACACTTAGCAGCAATCTATTCAGAAAGTTATGGGCAGGAACTACATCTTGCTTACAAGGCTGCATCAGGTGTTCCTCCCAACAGTTCACCTAGCCATCACCCCCGAGGAAACATCCTTTCAATTGGTTGACTACTCATAGAAGAACTCATTGTGGAGTTAATTACATTGTATTACATTGCATTGTGGCGATAACTACATTTCAACTGCCAAACCACTGAGAATCCTGGCCCAGTCAAGTTGATACAAAACCTTAACTATCACAATGTTATTGATTGCAATCCTTTCAATGTAACATCACTTATCCCACTTCCTCCCTGTTTCCATTTCTCTTTCTTTCATAGTCCTTCTGAATTTGTCTTTGGGTAAATTCTGCCCTTTTGATTTCAAATGATTAATTATTCTAAGGTGTGTGTACCTCCTTAGTGTTACTGATTCCCTTATAGGCTTGTCTATTGTATGGCTGAAAATTGAGCCTTGGGGATGAGTTCATTTCCAGATCTGAATGATAACAAAGGCCGTAACCTTGGGGGTTCCACAAAGTGACTTCTATATTATACAATGAGCAGGTATTAAATTTGTAATAAAAGAGTGATGATGTTTAAAAGAAAGTTCTGTCTGGCTACAGTGCAGGGGGTTGGTGGAGAGTGGCAGATAGAAGCAGTGTAGCCAGTTAGGGCTCATTGAGCTAACCCAGGTACAAGAAGAGGTTGCCTTGTACTTAGAATGATGATTGTGGAGATGCAGAGGAGACAGAACCAAGAGATTTTGAGAATAGAGCTGGAAGTAGGCATATAAGAAGAGGGTAGGGAGCTCCTAGAACCTGCCCAAGTGGCCTCTTCCCTTTCTTGCTCTGGAATTTAGGTCCTGGTTGGTGATCCTAGGTTCATGAGTGGCCCTGGACCCCATTGCCGTTTCAGATCCAGCAGACAGAGAGTCTGGACAAGATTGTGTCCTGGACCCACCAGTTTCCCTACGCCCATCAACTCTGGCTTGGACAGTTTGTTGGCTTCCTGAACATATACGAGCCTGACTATGCCAAAGCTGTGTACAGTCGTGGTGGTGAGGACTCCTGAGAGACAGTGGGCCTTCCTGAGAACAAAGGACAGAGAGTTTGGTGTGGGGAGGATGGTCTAGTGCCCTAAGTCTGGGAAAGGGTGGTAAAGATTCAACCCTACTTTATCAAGAAGCATCCTCTGGAAACCATTGTATCCTTCTGACCTGAGTTTCCTCCCTTTGCAGACCCTAAAGCTGCGGATGTGTATGATTTCTTCCTCCAGTGGATTGGTGAGTGGGACACACCTGCCTTCCCTGTCCTTCCCATATATCTTAGTTATCTAGTGCTGCTATAACAGAAATACTACAAGTGGGAACACAGAGAAATGTATTCTTTCATAGTTTAGAATGGTAGAAGTTCAAATTCAGAGGGCCAGCTCTGGGGAAAGGTCCTTGTCTCCTTTCAGCATCTGTAGGCCCAGTAGTTCTTGGAGATTTTTATGTGTCTTAACATCAATCCTTGCCTGGATCTAGGAGCTTCACAGTGTAGTGATCCCAGGTCCAAAGGACAAAATCCAATCTTGGTTCTCCTTTCTTGGTGGTAGTGGGTTCCTCTTTCTCTGCTCACATATTTCTCCTTTTATCTCTTGTAAAATAAATGGCGTTGCATCCACAACCTTGGGGATCCAAATCATGGTGGGATTAAGGGTGATAAATCCCACCCTTGAAGTCCTGGTGTGGCACTGTAGGATAAGCACTGGACTGCTAACTGCAAGATCAATGTTTCAAACCCAATGCAGTATCAGTCATTTGAACCCACTGCAAGATCAGCAATTCAAAGCACTGGACTGCTAACCACAAGATCAGTGGTTCAAAAGTAATTTATTTGTGTTTTGATTATGCCTAACAACTCACAGAGCCCACATTCCAAGCTGCTGCTTGGAAACCCTATATAGGATCACTATGGGTGGGAAGCGACTCAATGGCACTTAATAACAACAAATGCCTCCCTTAATCCTCTTATTTGCTTTTCACATCAGATCACATCATGGGGGATCATCATATAATTGCCAAACCACTGAGAATTATGATTCAGCCAAGCTGACACATATTTTTTTGGGAGATACAATTCAATCCATGCCACCATTCAAGTCCCTTGGTGCTGTGTGGTCAGGATTTTGCCCTGCCTTTTCTGCCCTGTCCCCACTTGATCAGTTATTTCCTAAACAGGACCTCCTGACAGTCATGCACTCTTAAACTCTGCCCAAATGGGAAGAAGAGAGCAGGCAGGAGAGCTCAGGGTTGTGGGGAAGCAGGGCTTAGGCCTCTTTCATGGTTAGTTCATTGTTTAACTCTCTGGACAGTAAGATTAGGGCTCTGTAGAATATGAGTGTGATGAACAGCTTCCAAGAGGAGATGACATTGGGTTCTACAGAAACTTTTAGTAGGTTGTGTCAGTCAGGGGAAGGACCTGAGAAAGCTGAGGTAGTACCACCAAGGCTGTTGTCACCAGAGTTTGTAGGCTGAGTGTGGTGGGGAAATTAGGGTGGGTTGGGAGGGTTGACTGGCCTTGAGTGCTAGAATGAAGAGAGTGACTTAATGTTGAGGATAGGTGGAAACCATTGAGTAGTCTTGAGCCACACAAACTTCTTCAAAGCCTTCCTTTTATTCATGATCCCATGATATTCTCAATAGCTTCTTGGGAGCTGAGAAAGGGCAAGACCCAGAGGAAAATAACATTACCAAGTCTATTTACTCACCCAGTAACATATCTAAAAAATACTAAAGCAAAAACAAATTACACACACACACACACGATAAAAACAAAAGCAAACCCATTACTGTCCATTTGATTCGGACTCATAGTGATCCTATAGGACAGTATAGAATTTCCCATAGGGTTTCCCAAACTGTATCTTTATGGAAGCAGACTGTCATATATTTTTCATACAGTGCAGCTGGTGGGTTCAAACCTACAACCTTTTGGTTATTAGTCAAGCATGTAACAACTGTGCCACCAAGATTCCTTGTATGTAGTTCATTCTCCTTGGATCAACTATCAACACCCATGGAAGCAGCAGTCAAGAAATCAAATGATGTATTACATTAGGCAAATCTGCTGCACAAGACCTTTTTTAGAGTGTTAAAGAACAAAGATGTCAGCTTGAGGACTAAGGTGCACCTGACCCAAGCCATGGTACTTTCAAAAACCTCATATGCATGTGAAAGCTGGACAGTGAATAAAGAAGATCATAGAAAAATTGATGTTTTTGAGTTGTGGTGTTGGAGGAGAATATTGAAAGTGCCATGGGCTGCCAAAAGAACCAACAGATCTGTGTTGGAAGAAGTGCAGCCAGAGTGCTCCTTGGAGGCCAAGATGGCCAAACTTCGTCTCTCATACTTCAGACATATTGTCAGGAGGGACCAGTCGCTGGAGAAGGATTTCATGTTTGGTAAGGTGGAGAGTCAGATAAAAAGAGGAAGAGCCCCAGTGAGATTAATTGGCAATATGGCAGCATCAATGGGCTTAAGCATGGCAGCAACTATGAGGTTGGTCCAGGACTGAGCATTGTTTCATTCTGTTGTGTGTAGGATTGCTATGAGTCGGTACCAACTCTATAACACCTAACAACAACAACAACAACAGTAATATAAAGAAGTCTTTCTTTTGACTCCAGTGGTTTTAACCCTCTCTTAAGTTATCAAACAGATATTCTTAAATAAATGAGAAAATCGGCAGGAAACGTTTAGAGACATTCAGAGGCATTTCAAATACAGGAATTAATTTCCATTCCTCTGTGTATGTGTGTGTGTGTGTGTGTGTGTGTGTGTGTGTGAGTATGTAAGATAAGGTCCAGTCTGAGGCTATGAAGCACAAGCACTATTGATTATTCTCTGAAACCTGAGACTGTGACCACAGTCTCAGCAGTTGAGAAACCCAGGAGTGTTCTGCTTGGCTCTCTCCACTGAGCATGTTCCAGTTTCATCTGACTTAAGTCCATGGATCCTAGACTTTGTGGGTTCCGCCAGGAGGCAGAAGATGAACCATTGCCACCCACTGTGTTCTGAGGTCCTGAGGTCCTGCCCAAAAGTTTCTGGTCACCTGGTGTTGGGGCACAGAGGGCAATACTGAATCTCTCAGTATTGAGGGATCCAGCTTGAGGGTGATGTGCCAACACAGTCCATCTGCTTGGCCCCAGGCTGCAAGGGGCAAAGAAGAGCTACCCAAATTAACTGCATCTCCCTCTGCTATCCCTTTCCCAGGGAGAGGCCTTTTGGTCCTGGAGGGGCCCAAGTGGTTTCAGCACCGCAAGCTGCTCACACCTGGCTTTCATTATGATGTACTCAAACCCTACGTGGCTGTGTTTGCCGAATCCACACACGCCATGCTGGTGAGCTCCCTGCGCCAGTCTCCTGGAGGGTATTAACTTCTGGATCAGTCCCCAGTGTCTGTTAGAATGGGCCTGAATTGCTGGGGGAAGCCAGGTTTTTCACAGCAGTGGGGAATTTCTGAGGCCTGAGGTCCCATTCTGCCAGCAGTAGCAATGTGGAACTCTTGTTCTGACACCTGGCTCAGCCAGGAACCGACCTGATGGTGAATCTCTTGAGTGTCTAGGCAGTTCCTGGTGCTTGTCTTCACCAGGAGACCCAGCCCTTTCCCTTCCTAGACCAAAGAGATTTTATGAGTCTTAAATAAGACTCCAATAGTAGCAGGTTTGAGGATTGCCTATATTTGAGAGTATCAAGAAAGACGTCATCTTTGCAAATTGTCTCCTCCTCATCCTCTCCCTGAGATAGATGTCCAAGATAATGTCATTAGCAACTCATCTCTAACAGGGGTTTCTGGGGCCATGGGTCAGTCAGACTCAAGGACTGCATGATCCCAGAGATCAGCCAGGGTAGCCTTTTCCATGATAGGATGCTCCTCCTGAGCAACACTGGCAGGCCGGTTTTACACAAGCTGTGCTGGGGAGATCGCCACCTCTTGGTTTGCCTGTTCCTTTAGCTGATCTTGCCGGGGGCGGGGGGAGGTGGGGGATTGTATGTGTTCTAAAAGGTCCACCTTCTAGTCCTGTTTTTGATTCTGTCCTCTTTAAGTCTCTGCCCTCACCCTACATTTCAGTAGGATAGACGGCTGGACAGGGCCTGGGTGTAGATATGAGGGGTGAAGCTTGGTAGTGAAGAATTAGGTTGTGGATCCTGGAGGGCAGGGGTGGGACATGACACCCCCCTACCCCCCCATGTTACCTTCTATTTCTGAACTCAGGACTTGTGGGAGAAAAAGGCTCGTGAAGATAAGAGTTTTGACATCTTCTGCGATGTTGGCCGCATGGCGCTGGATACACTCATGAAGTGCACCTTTGGCAAAGGAAATAGTGGCCTGGGTCAAAGGTCAGAAGGCTCCTCAGGGATCACCATGCCTTCTCCCCAAGGTGGCCAACAGAGGAGAGCTGCCAGGATTCCTGAAGCCCTTGTCTGAGAGAAGATAGGGACTCTAGCTCATGAGGAATGGGGTACTTGCCCATGGTGGTGAGACACATTGTGGCTTTGCTGTTGTTAAGTGCCATTGAGTTGACTCATAGCAACCCTGTATAAGGATTCCAAGGATCGGTTGGTAAGTTTGAACCCTTGACCTTGTGGTTAAAACCAACCTTGAGGTCCAGTGCTTTAGCTCACAGTGCCACACCAGGACTCCATTGTGGCTTTGGTGTAGGGATTAAGATCAGGGAGAGTGAAGGCAGAGAGAGCTGTGGTTGGGGTCAGATTCCTGGAATGGGAGCTCTTCTGGATTTTTTCTTGGGTCAGTGTCTGAGCTGCCCCTTCCTCCCTCGGCTGTCCAGGGATAACAACTACTACCTGGCAGTCAGTGATCTCACGATGCTGATGCAGCAGCGGCTTCAGTCCTTCCAGTACCACAACGACTTTATCTACTGGCTCACCCCTCATGGCCGCCGCTTCCTTCGTGCCTGCAAGGTGGCTCATGACCATACAGGTAGGTTTTCCTCCAGGGTCCATCCCCCAAAACCCTGAGTCCTAGCACAGCCTCTTTCTGGACCCTCTGTGATCCCACCTCCTTGCTGGACCTCAGCTTCCTCTTTGAACAGAGAATAGGAAAGTGATGCTCTGTTCTCCTGACCCAGACCAGGTCATCAGGGAGCGGAAGGCAGCACTGCAGGATGAGAAAGAATGGGAAAAGATCCAGAAAAAGAGACACCTGGACTTCTTGGACATCCTCCTTGGGGCCCGGGTAAGTGCACAGGTGTCCACCTCTACCCCTGAACTGACCCCAGAAACCACTCTGACATTTTCCCCTTCCCCTCAACCTTTTAAGGCCTTACTCACTGTAAGGTAGAAAGTTTGTTAAGCAGTTTCCACCTATTCTACATGTAGACTGACCCCCATAATGACTTGTTGATTGTTCTGTGACATATTAGCAAAGTCTCCTAGGAGAGAAGGAAGGTGCAAGGTATGGGTGGGCTATGGTATCTGTGTAGCAGGGGCCTGGATGATCAATTTTAGATAGCAAAAATGAGGAAAGCCTTTAATGAAATAGATGAATTAACAAAATATGCACAATAATGGACTTGAACATACCAACCATCATGAAAGTGCCTCAGGACCAGGCAATGTTTCATTCTGTTGTATATGAGTGGGATTCCAATGAGTTGGAGCCAATTTGATGACAGCAATTTGAAGTCAGTGGTTCAGATTCACCAATCACTCCTCAGAAGCCCTATAGGGGATCACTATGAGTCAGACCTGACTTGATGGAACTTAACAACAACAACAAACAACTATAAGCTTCTAGAGATCTTGACACCCTAGAGTCTTAGAGTTCATTCATTCATTTTTTACCTACTCCACAAAGCTCTGGGCTAGGGATGCAGTGATATGAAAGACCTGTCCATGGCTTCCAGAAACGTATAGATTAGCAGAATAGGTAGGGGCTAAACATTGATAAAGAGGTCTTCTTGTGTCAGCTGGCATTCCAGGTGTCATGTGAACAGAACTGACAGGGCTGTATAAGGTCACAGGTCACTTTGCAGAGAGACTCAGGGAAGCATCCAAGATGAGTTTCCATGGGCAGATAGGGATGCTCAGTCTGAAAAGGAGCTTTCACTCCTTCCTTTGGAATTTCATTTGCAAAATTATACTATTATGAGTTCTTCATGGTACCTATCTCAAATTTCTTGAGCTATGCCTTCCCTAACTCAGGATGAAAGTGGGAGCAAGCTATCAGATGCAGACCTTCGGGCTGAGGTGGACACATTCATGTTTGAAGGGCACGATACCACCACTAGTGGCATCTCCTGGTTTCTCTACTGCATGGCCCTGTACCCTGAGCACCAGCAGCGCTGTAGAGAGGAGGTCCAAGAGCTCCTAGGAGACCGGGACACCTTCCAGTGGTAAGTGAGACTGAGGGTAAGCTTAATCTGTTTTGCTCAGCCCCAGAGAAGGTCTGTGCCATTCTCTTGTGCCACCAAGGACAACCCAGGGCTACCCTAGAAACTAGATGGGATGGTGGCAGTTATTTTGTCCCCTCCAGTGCCGTAGTTTTGGAAAGGAGAGGTGCAGATGCACTCCAGTACATTCTGGTAAAAAGTAGCCTTTCCAGATGTGAGTAACATAGAGAAGACTGCCAACAGAAAACTGCTTGCTCCCTCTGATTATGGCCGAACCTGACTACAATTCTGATATTCTGGATAGAGCAGAGAAAGCTGAAAGAGAAAGACATGGAAACTCGGAATGAACAGAGCTAGGATTGTGGGGAATGCTGATCCCTTCCCAACAGCTTTAAAAAAAAAAAAGTTTTTATAGTGGATTGAGTGAAAGTTTACAGAGCATATCATCAGTTTTACATTCAGCAGGTCTTTGTTTCATTACAATGTTTATAATCCCCTCCATGTACCATCAGTTAACAGTATTTCTCTCTATTCATTTTTTAAAAAAACACTCAGGCATATAAAATAAGTTACACCTCCAAAGTGCACATTCTGCAAGTCTGCCTTCTGGCCACTGGCTCTTAATCCCTTTCTTCCTATGAATCTAGAGTCCTCAGCTGCTCCCCTTCTCCATGCCCCCATCTCTGCCTCGTATCTGGTGTCGCTGCTTCTCTGGATAAGTTCCCGCATTCTGCTTGTGCTCTTTTCCCTTGATGGTCCTAGGGTCCTCTGTTTCTGGACTGTAAGATTAACCACTCCCTTGTTTTTGTTACAAAACTTGTACCTTCATAACTGTGACAGTCACAATTAGTCGTTATAACAATTATTCACTCTTGAATCATACGAATCTTATCCCCATCTCTTTTCACTAAACCCATCTAGACAAGATGAAAACTATTCCATGTGAACTCTTTCTGCATCCCCTATACTCAGTGGGGACTCTTTCTGTACCCCCTATACTCTTAAACTAAACTCCCTTTTGAAACCTTGTAAGCCAGTCACTTTGTGCCTTTATCACCCCCTCATTTTAGGTAGCCAAAGTCTAAGTTGCATGTCCCTATCTAACCTGTGTACAGAGGGGATAGCATTAATACTTTATGTGAAGACTCCTTCCCTCTCTGTTGGTATTTAGAGTTACTACCTCCATGACTATAGGTCAGGTTCATCAAATTGTAGCAATTTACCCTTTTTTCCTTTATAAAAAAAAAAATTTTTTTTTTTAAAATCTTCCTCTAGTTGAGTTCTGATTATCAAGTTATCGAGACTAGGTCAAATGGGTACTGTCTGCAAGTTTGGGTGTTCTTGTTCATCTCCCTTCACTTCATATAAGCTGGATGCTTCATTCTCAGCTCTAGCCCTCTGTGGCTATGTCCTTGTCCATGGGCTGAAGTGTCCCCAGGTCTCACCACACTTTGGACCAAGCAGCCCTTCCTCTTCTCTCTCTCATCTCCAGGTCAACGGAAGTCAATGGACTGTGGTTGAACTCAGCCCATTTCTTCATTGCTGCCTTTCGCCTGCTTCCAATCACCAGTAGACCAACATGGTCGCCAGCAAGCTTACATGTTTGTTAATGTATTCCCTTTGAGTTTCCGTCTAAAAGGAGAGTTTGTCCTGAAGGAACTTGATTGCTTGCCTTGATGGCTTCCTGGAGAACAGCTTGCTTATTCTTGTAGTAGACAGTCAGGCTGACATTTTTGTTTTGTGTTTTTCCTGATGATCTTTCTTTGAAGATGTATCTTCTGTTGCTGTATCTGTTCCAGGCTGGTCTGCTTGTCCTTTCTAGTGGGAATGTCCCACCACATAAGGTTCTGGGTGGGACTCAGGATTCCACCTAAGGTCCTATACTCTGCAAAGGCTTTGCAAGAGGCCTATTTCACTGGACAAGTTCTAGAACCCCTTTTAGTTATTCCAGTTAGTTATAGGCTGAATGTGGGCTTACAAGTTTTCTATAATCATAAACATTAAAAAAAAAAAAATGTCCACACCTTTAGCTCCACAGTTCTGTTAGGTCTTCATGGCTGCTCTGATCCTTCCCTCACTTGGTCTCTCCCAAGATGGTGGCTCTGGGAGCAGATGAGCATCTTGAATTAGCAAGTGATGGATTTCTTGCTTCTGCTACAAATTTCCCTAGCTGTAAGCCTTCCAACCTTCTAAATATTCCTTTATATGTGGTTCAGAGTTCTGGCACCATCCCTGAGCCTGCTTGTTCTGGTATTCTGTGTTGTTGCTGATGGAGCTCCTCACTGCACATCTACCTTCTCCACCATCTTGTTTGTTCTCTCCTACCTGCTTTTGATGGTACTGCACAGTCCCCAAGATTCTGGCCTCTTCTCTGGTGAAGGAAAGAAGTCTGTTTCCCAAATGCCCTTCCTTAAAATCTTTCAGTCAATAGTTCCTTCTTGTTTCTTAGTTCAAGTCTTAAGTCATTAACACCAATTGACCCCTGTCTCTCTCTCTCATTTTTTTCCCAATAACTTTTTATTGTGAATTGGATGAAGGTTTACAGAGCAGATCATCAGTTTTACATTCAACAAATCCTAAGCTTCTTTTCATTTCAATGGTTGTAATCCCTTCAATGTAATGTCACTTACCCGACTTCCTCCATGTGTTTCCTATTTTCATTCCTCTTTTTCCCCTAACCCTTCTAAACTCTGTCCTTGGGTAAATGACACCCTTTTGATCTCAAATGGTTGGTAACTCAGTAGTGCTATTGTTCCCCATATAAACCTATTGAGTCATGGATATGCATTCAGTTCCAGACCTGGCCAGTAGTCACCTGCCTCTCTTTTAGCTCATTCTTCCAAACCTTGGGGATCTCTCATAGGCTCCTCCCCACCACTGTTTTTACTTTCTCACTCCTCACATGCACCTCTCCATCTCCTCTCATCAAAGCTGGGATGTCAGTCGTGCACATAGCTTTTCCCCTGGGCTTCTGCACTGCCCCAATGCAGTATAGACACACAGTTAGGTTGCAGGGAATACTAAATCATGGAGAAGTCTATAAATTCATGTGGGAGGAGCCTGAACCTGTAATTCTGAGGTATGGAATTTGGAGGATGAATTCTCCGTTATCCATATTTACTGGTTGGGTATTAGAAACATCTCAGGATGTTCAGCCAGGTGCTGTTGAGGAAGTGAGTAGGGCTAAGTAGAGGAAGAACCAAGATGCTATTCTTTTTTTTTTTTTT